CAACGGCCTCCCGTCCGTGGCAGTCACAACACCTGCAGATTCCCGCAGGTCCTTGAGCATCCCCTCCCCAGCGAGCACGTTAGCCCAGTGCCTCACTGTCATGTGCCCGGCGCTGACACGTTGGCCTCAAAGAGGTTCTGCTCAAGGACATGTGACCACCGCCCCACACCCGGCCAGCAGTGTGGGAGGAGCCATTTATATTTGCGCCTGGCTCCCCCTCGGTAGGGCTGCCCACCATGCTCCAAAGGCACGGCCCACCACACCAGCCCTCTGAACCCACAAAGACCCCGCGTCTCCAACAACAGCAACCAACAATAGGCCACTAGCAGCAGCAACAGCAACGGCAAACCCACCAGCCCCCCAACCCGCAAATGATGCACTTAAACCACCTAATGCCATGCACATGGCAAGGGTAATCTGTCAAGATGATCAGCACTGCGGAGTAATTAATTATCTCCGAGCTGCAGTCACGGCGTGCATTGTGTTCTTGCACTTCGACTGCAGGGAGGACCTCTTCAAGCGCTCTGCCCTCAACTGGCCGACTTCCCCACGAGGGCCGTCTGCGACTGTAGTGAGCGATGTGAGCTGAAGCTCGCCTTCGCTCAAGTATCCTTAGCCGACTTCTGAAGCCGTCCTCTAAATTGAAAGTTACTTACTTTCAAGTTGGTCTCCTCGGCTTCAGTCCTGCTTATGATGAATTTCGCAAACAAGAGCCAAGTAGCCCATGGAAATGCCATGGAACAACAAGACCAGGTACTGCAGGTGAAGATCTGCAGGGTTCTCCAGCCTTTTCATAATCGAATCTTGCCAAGTAAACCAGCGACTCGGCTGGACCGACTCACCTCTGCGATGCAGAAAACTGCTGTTGGCAGCCGCCATGTCGCTCATGAACTCATCGGGCCTGATTCCATGGTCGACGTTGAAGCGACTCATGCGGTTGAGAGTGGCACACACCAGCGGATCTCGCTTGTCCGCTGTCGCAACAAACTCCGTCCAAGCTTCTGTAATTTCTGCCCACCACTTCCTTACATGGCATTTCATTGCAGTCTGCCACGACCCTCCATTTCCTAGCTTTAGTACGAGCCATTTTCTTTCTCCACATGTTCTGTTCAGGAAAGACGATTAATTAATTAGCTCTGTTCCCAATTTTCTCATCCGCTGCGACAGGAAGTCGGTGACTGCCAAACTGCAGCCGCCAACTGCTTCTCTTATATAAGCCAATGTCGTATCCAGACAGAACTGAAACTTGTAACAACAAGCCTCGCCATGACAACGCAGATTGATGAGAGTGTAACTCCCTCTAAAGTCGTCTTCTTAAGACTGGAAGTCAAATTCTCTGAAGCACGATTCAGCACTCTGAAATACGACGGGCCGAGAAGCTGTGAGGACCAAGGTCCTTCGTGAAGGTTGAGCCAGACCGTCGTGAGTGTCACGGCAGAGTAGAGTTGCGCTTCCTTGATGCCGTTCAGCAACGACTTCCACATACTGTGCAGAGGATCTTCCAAGGACCTGGCTTCTTTCTCTTTTGCAGCAGAGATTTATTCTATGACCAGAATGGCAGTGTAAGGCCAGGGTGGAGGTTGCATGAAGAACAAAAACTGCCAGAGCAGACGCAGCGGCCACTTCCTCAAACCAAGATGATGAAGCTCAAAGGAGTCAGTCGACACAGGAATTGGCCCTTGGTCGCTGCATTCGACTAGTGTGTGTCGTTCCCACAGCGGCACGCGACTGTCCTCGGATCTGCTGCAGTTGCTGCTACTTTCGCTAGTCTTATTCATTATTCTTCCTTTGATCAAACGGTTTGGGCTAGTTCTGGTGCAAATTTATTAAATTTGAAAACTGTGAGTAAAAATAGTAGCCCTCTTGAATTGTCGCCGAAGTTCCGACTCCTTGGGCACATACGCGTCCAGGCCATTCCCAGTGATGCACGACAGAGCATTGTTCTTCGCGAGCAAGAGGTCAAAGGAAGGCAGTCGACTCGGAGGTCGGAGCCGCTTGCGCACAACCGCAGTGTCTTCCAGTTCCTGCTGTCTGCCAGCCTCTCTCTTCAGGAAGCGACGAGCTCGCTCCTTCCAGATGTCCTTGTCCGCCTGATCGACTGGCTCCCCAGGTTGGGCGACTCTGATCTTCATGTCGCGGATCTCCTGCATGCTTAAGACACCCCGGACGGACGTCTTCGAGCCATCCTATTTAAATTATTATTGTCCGTTCTCTTCGCTGGATGCTGGTTATTGTATTACTGCCATTGCTTTGCCCCTGGGCCAGGATGCAGTCAGTTCTGCTGATCGAGGCTTTTTTCTTGTTGTCTTCTTTAGTGAATTGCCGATCGCACGCAATGCGCTAACACGGTATAGTATTGGCAATGAACCCTGTACCCTTCCGTGGATTAGAGAAGAAAAGAAGTTGTCCTAACATGAAAGCCGCCTCCTAAGAAGACGTATGCACTGTCACTATTATGATCTGCTTTGCTTCCTTCTGTCCACGGCTTTTAGTGGGAACAACAAAGGTATTTATTGGCCCTTGCTGCAAACGGAAATCTTCTCTCTGGTTTAAGAGTGAGGCCACTACTTTGGTTCGCTTTTGTAGAAGTGACAGGCCCTGAATCGTGAGGGCCAGGTGAGGCTCAGTGCCTTCACTTTACTATTATTTCTTTGGTTGTTTTCCCTGAATTTCTCTGGAATCCCTCAGTTGATTAATTGGCTGCTATCCTTCCTGATGAGCACTGTTCTACAACTAAAGTTGATTGCGAATGGTAAGAAGTACCGTCAGTCAGACGATGCCGAGCGATTCTTTGATTGATGGACTCTTGAAACCAATTCATCGCCCAGCCCTGCCTGAGGCGGCGCCCAGCAGGCGATGCCCTGCTCGCTCATCCCACAGAGCATGAGCCGCTCCTTGCCGCCGACTCGCGACTCGTCGTCAGCGATGGCCAAGACCTTGGTGTCTGCCATTGCCCTCCGGCAGCCGAAGAAGTACCTCAGGAGGTCTTTCTTGTCGTCCATCACCCGCGGGTTCAACTTGGCCTCTCCCTTTTTGCGTTTTTTTCTTTTTCTTCTTGTCCGACTCTTGGCCCGGCACATGCTCGCGTGCGCGATGTGCAAGAACATTGGGGTCACTGAGAGACCTTCGCGGCTTGATTTTGCTGCCACTGTCGCTCTCTGTCATGACGACGAACGACTTGTGGAAAACCAAAAACCTTTCAGCCTCCACGACTTGTGCGACCTGAAAGCATAATTGATCACAGATCCACTGACAATTGCTTTCGCGCTGGGTGCCCCAAAGCAAGGCCAATATGTCCGCATGGCTGGACAAGTTAATGCTCTTCTTCTCTTGGCGGGAGAGCTGCTTCCAGTTGTACGACTTGTTCGCTCTCTCAAATGTCAGGTTGCCCGAAACATTGAACAGCGGCTCACCGCAATTCCTGCACATGCTCGGGTTGTACTCCTTGTCGAAGACCAATTTGAGGTAGAGGCTTTGGTCGACATTGTGATGTCGACTTGTAATAAGCCGTCGCACTCCGGAACGACAGTGTCAGCTGCCTCGACGAAAGGAACCACTGCATCATGTGGGGCGACTGCAGCCGCTGCATCATCTGGATCGTCCAAAGCGACTGCCTCATCTCGACCGAGCGCAGCAGAAGGAGCGGCTGCTTGACGATCGGTCGTGAGGATGTGGTCATCCATCACGGCTCCTCGGCCAAGATGGCTTTTCAAAACCTGGCGCCAGGACTTTCTCATCCAAGTGCTAATCTTCGACTGAGTCACCGTCTTCGACGGCAGGAAGCTCTTCAAGATGCTTTGCAAAGACCAGAAAATGCAGCAACCGCTGCTTCGATGTGCGCGGTCGAACTCGAGTGTGACTATCGGTTCGACTTGGCCAGGCAAAGCCAGCTTCCTCCAGGTTCGGCCAATGCCCTCGTCTAGCCACTGAAGAACCAAGCCTGCCGACCGCGGCAAGCGATGCACGAGGAATTGCTCTCGACTGGAACGACATTCGAAAGCGTGCCACTTGAAGAGTCCTCGGCAGCTTTCTATCGCACAGAAGCTATTCCCCCTGTCTTTTTTGAATTCTTCAAACACAATCTCTTACCACCGGTGCCTTAATCAAGTAACATAACAATTCTCAAGGCAGGCATCGACTCGCCCACACCGACTTGCCTGAAATCCGCAGAAAGCCGTACCTCTTGTCGGCGCTGAAGTGGATCTGGCCATCGTCCGTCCTGTGCTCCAGGATGACTCGCTCGCCACTGATGTGGTTGATGAGGATGGCCACGTCATCATCTTGGACGAGATGCAGCCGTTCAAAATGTGGGATTTCCACATACTCCGCAGGGCGATCGACCGGACTTGGCGGCCTTGCCCTTGATGCCATGGCAGGCGAGCGACTCTCAACCCGAGCAGCCTGGCTGGACTCAAACCCTTTTAACTCTTGAACCCTAAACCTTAAACTTTAAACCCTGCAAAACCCCAATCCCTAAAAACCCGAAACCCTAAACCCTAAAAACCCTAAACCCTAAATCACACCTGCGTCTACAAACACCGATTATTTGGTGGTGTGTGACTCTGTGCAGCAACCAACCAAGCTTGTCGAGTCGACTCACAGCAGCAAAGCATGGTCAGTCATCACAGAGTGCGCAGTCGCTTCTGCCGTGCCGAATCAGGTTTCTTGGGAGAATGTCACTAAACCGGTAGACGCCACACTTGACACCATCGCACGCCTGCGATGAAGTCGGCATCGAGGCTGAGGCGGCGCTTCCTGCGGCCCGTGGTCCTGGCAGGCCACGTTGCTTTGGCTTCTTCTGAGGGAAATGCCTAGCAGAAACATGCTCTTGTCCCAGCATGGTCACACAGGCGGCCTGCCGACCAAAATTCCGTGCATAGCATTTTCATTTTCCACCAAGGCAGCGCCCGTCGTCGCTGTCGACTTCATGACAGCTATTAGGCTATTGTAACAGCTTGTCCGACTGCAGCAGCCGTGCAACCGGGCTCCGCCAAAAAAACGGAGACTCTAAGTAATTCGGGAGGAACCATGGGACCGTTTCGCCTCACTGTGCCTAGGGGTCAACTGAGCCCGGTTGATTGACTGTAGTTGAGTCCAGGGACTCGCATGCAAGATTGCGACTTACGACTAGGAAAACACCGCTGCCGAACGACCACGCTGACTGCGACTCGTCACTGCCTCGGCATCTCCTTTCGTTGCTCGGGAAGGTCGACTGTCACTTCACTTCCTTCCTGATTGAGCTGAAGCGACTCAGCACGTCCACCCAGAGGCGGCCTCGGAAAACAACATTCATGCCAAAAGATGTCCAACAAATGCTTGCCTTGCTGTAGCCTCTGGCTTATTTTATAGCCTGGTTTCAAACCACCAAACAGCGTCCAGCACAAAGATACCAGAAATCATAGTGTTCTTTTGCTTACCGAGTCTTAAAACAAGTATTATGTACTAACACCAGTCGGACTACGACAAGTAGTAATTAAATTATTGGTAGTAGTAGCACCAGTAGTTGTAGTTGTACTAGTAGTTGTTGTACTATGAGTAGCAGCACAAGTGTTTAGTCTTGGGTTATAATAATGGCAGGCTAGCATGACCGCTGCAGACAGTTGACTTCTCCATGGGGAGCTCCCGCCGGCGGCAGTGATAGATCGTGTCCGGCAGCTTGTCGACTGGGCCAGGCGCAGACCATGATGCCACGTCCAGTTCGGGGAAGTTGTAGACCTCGCTGAGAACCTTCTTGCGGACTGGGGACGGCCCACGCCTGCCAGTCAGATTGATTATGTTTCCTATACTTATTACCTGACTCTTGCAGAGAAAGGGGTCAGGTTTCAACTGGTTCCCAGTGGGCCCAACCCTGCCTGGTCTTCACTGAGCAGCTTCGACGGTCCAAACCGATTCTTGAAACTGTCTTTGGCAAACTCCTCAAACATCTCGCGGACCAGAGTCTGTTCAAGGCCCTGAAGGCCGTCCAGCTTCCCGTGCTCGTTGCACGACCTGCTCTCAGGATAATAGTTGCTTTAGTCGTCTGACTGACTAAAGTCAGTAATTCAGAAAGACCACGGACCTATGCCTGCAATACATGGTCATACAATCAATACATATCCTGGCAGTAACTTCCACAGTCTTAAGTCCACACTGTGTTGGCAGCAGGATGTTTCAGGAGTCATTAACAGAGTATGGCCTCACAACCACATTGCTGCATTACTTCATGCTTGCTTTGAGAAAACCATCAATGGAACAACGTCTCTCTCGATGTTGGTTGACAACTAATGACGAAGGACCCCGTCTCTCAATCCTTCCTTTGCGGCCTAGCAAAGTATTGGCAGAAGTCTTGCCTGGTGGCCGCCAAGCTAAACGGCTCCGGGATCCCGAACGTCGAGACCCAGTGCTTCTCTCGCATCTCTTCACCGACGACTTGTCTGGAGCGCGAGGGCAAAGCCGACGATCCAGCAATGTCACTAATCATCTGAAAAACCTCCATGAGCAACGACGACTTGTCGGGGTCGCTCTGGCTGGGCTCCGACTCCAACATCTGAACGACTTCGATCAGCGGTTCGACTTGGCCGAGCAAAGGCAGCTTCCTCCATGTTCGGCCACTGCTCTCGTCTAGCCACTGAAGAACCAGGCCTGCCGACTGCGGGAAGCGATGCACCAGGAATTGATCTCGAATGGCACGACATTCGACGAAAGCGAGCCACTTGAAGAGTCCTCGGCAGCTTTCTTTCGCACACAAGCTACTTTGGAGCTACATTCCGAAAATTCCCCTGTTTTTTTCAAATTCTTCAAACACAATCTCTTACCACCGGCGCCTTTATCAAATAAACATAACAATTCTCAAGGCAGGCATCGACTCGCCCATACCGACTTGCGTGCAATCCGCAGAAAGCCGTACCTCTTGTCGGCGCTGAAGAGGATGGCCACATCATCATCTTGGACGAGTTGCAGGCGTTCAAAATGTGGGCTTTCCACACAGTCCGCAGGGCGATCGACTGGACTTGGCGGCCGTGCCCTTGATGCCATGGCCGGCGAGCGACTCTCAACCCGAGCAGCCTGGCTGGACTAGCTGGTACAATCAGCAATCGTCGCCGGAGGAGTGCTGAGCATTCTTAGTTTCACTGGACACTAGATCACACCTGTGTCTACAGACACCGATTGGTGGTGTGTGACTCTGTGCGACCAATCCAATCAAGCTTCTCGAGTCGACTCACAGCAGCGCAGCAAGAATGGTCAGGTCAGTCAGTACACGATGCATGTAACTGCGCAGGAACAGTCGCTTCTGCCGTGCCGAATTATTTCTTGGGAGAATGTGACTAAGGACCGGTAGACGCCACACTTCACAGCATCGCAGTCCTGCGATAAAGTCGGCATCGAGGCTGAGGCGGCGCTTCCTGCCCGTGGTCCTGGCAGGCCACGTTGCTTCGGCTTCTTCTCAGGGAAATGCCTAGCAGAAACATGCTCTTGTCCCAGCTCGGTCACACAGGCGGCCTGGCGACCGACATTCCGTGCATAGCATCCTCTAGGTTACCGTGTTTGGGGGTTTGGTTATAGCGGCTGGTTCATTCAATCAACCGCTAGAGCCCTAAACCTCATCCCGACCCCAGATATCGAACCTAATAATAATAAGCAATATTGATATGAACTCGAAACCCCTAAGCCCTCAGCGAAGCCCTCAGCTCTAAACCCCTGGAGGCTCACGACCCCAATGTCTAAATCCTAAGCCTTAATAATGAAGTTCTAAGGCTTAAAGCCCTAAACCCTACCAAACCAGTTTGACATGGAACCGGTTTTCACCCCTAAACCGTGAACCTGACTATGCCTTGCTTTTGAGAGCTCCTGCATTTACATTGGGCTAAATTAGGTAGCGGGGGCAATATCCTTGGATGATGAGGATCGAAAGCTGGGCCTGCCAGCGCCGTCCCACACTTCTTAACAACAAGCAAAGGTCTAGCCCAACCCCGCATCATCCGGAAACCCTTTGCCCAAAGCGCACCCATGCCCCCAACAGAACATGTTTATCCGATCCCATGCCGGCACGAAGCCTTGTCCATCTGCATGCCATGCCAGCACGAAGCCTTGTCATGTAGCACCTGCGAGTCGCAGCCGGGTGGTTCCAGACGTCAGGCTTGTTGGTTGCGGGTCCAGGAGTCTTGCAAGTTTGGTTGTGATTATGTTTGCAAACCCTGGGCCCTGTGAATGGCCTGCTTACTGTCTACCGGCTGGCCTATGGCGGCACGAAAACTTAAATACCCGAAATCTAACCTTAGGAATACCCGAAAACTA